TCCTAATATCCGGTTTTCGAAGCCATCCTTCCTCTCAAGCTATATGTGTATATATATGTGGAAAAGTTTATGTACTTATGGCAGCTCCTACACCTCCGCACCGCCGACTTCTCATCTACTTCCACGGATAAGCGTCGCAATTACAACAGGGCCTGCAAATCGCTTCATCTTTTTTTATGGCTGCCCTACAATGGCCGTTTTGGGATAGTCTTATGGATGGCCCAGGTCTGTTGGCCAGGCTAAAACCAGACGCCGAGACGGGCCCATAACAAATCATTGGGCCGTGTTAGCGTCGAGTAAGTAAATTTGATGATTTGCACTTTGAACTTTAATTTGTTGTTCCCGCGTCTGCTGTAAGCGCATTTCGGGTGCCTAAAACTAATGGAAATTTGGCATTTTACTACCTTGTGTTGAGCGCCGTAATAAGCTGAACATTTATGGCTAAAATTTTACGAATGCAAATATTTAATGGCAAAATAATGTAATATTTTATAATTTCATTTTTACAGTCAGTAAAAAACCACAATGTTAGAACTAAAAGGTACTTATAACAAAAGTGTAGATTTTTATGCAAAGCTTAGTTTGACAGCCAAATTATTACATTGAATTTAATGGGTATTTTTGTGAAGGGTCTGTGCAAGTTAATGTAGCCTGATCCCAACTCCGAATCCTCAACTCAGGTTCGCGGATTCACATTCACCCTTTATTCCTCATATGTTGTGACGTCTGTTTCTGTTTTTACTTCTGTTTTCATTTTCCCCTCTTTTTGCCGCATTTTGCTTTTCTTTTGCAGCTCAGCACATTGCATTATTTATGTACAAGTCTGGGGAGGAGTTTTCTAGAATTTTTGTTAATAATTCTTACCAGCAGCTTGCATATATATAATTTCGCTTTTTTTTTCCTAGGCTATTAAGCTTGATGATTTTAATGAGTGAATAATGTGTTTGGTTGCCCTCTTCGAAACATCAGCGCTGGCCCCAGTTTTTCTGCTTTAATTTTTTAATAACCTTCAAACTCTTGAGTTCTTTGGTAATTCGTTTGTTTGCCTTCGACATGTATCGCGGACCCCCGCCTGGAAAAGTTCCCAGTAGTGCTACCGATTCGAGTGGAGCATTAAATTTGTCATTAGGTTCTGAAAATTACATCAAGTAGTGTTTCTCTTTCTCCTCTTCTCTAGATTTATCTTTTTAAATATTTAAACGTTCTAATTGGCTGACCGTCGGGCACTTGAGGCCTTCTTCTGCCACTGAAGCTCTGAGAACATTTTTGGTTGACATAGATAATTGTACTGCTTACGATTATGTAGCAGATTATGCGGCACACAACTGACAAATGTCTGGATTTTCCCCGCAGGGACGAAGACTCATTGTGGGGCTTTTTTTTGGTGTGGGTGGGTGTGTGAACTATAATGAGCCAAAGTTGACTTTTCATTTTGGTCGTGTCAAGTGCCCGGGGCTTCTACATTTTTAAGATGCCTTTGCACTGCCTTGTGACATACGACTTCAACACCACCACCTCCCCCTCCCCCACTAAATCTACTGCAAGTTTTTCATCTTCCACTTCCACTGGGGGAGCTGTGACATTTTTTATGGCCTGTACTGATGTTTTGACCTAGTAATTTAATGATGCTAAATGGCGTGGCAGTTGATTGCCGGAACATGCGGGCGTGGCTCCTTGGGTTGTGGAGGAGGGGGGGGTGTGAGAGAGCTTCTTCTCGAGTGCAGCAAATGGCAGCAAATTCAATTTGTAGGTTGAGCTTTTGAGACACTACAAGCTGCTGACGAAGAGCGTTCTTATTCTGGTATTTCTAAGCAGACTGGGGGATTCACACGCCCAGCTGTGGATTGCACAATTCTTGTATAAAAAGAACTTTGGCCAATATCACATTGTATTGGCATTTTCTTTTATTTCTTGCTTTCCACAATTAAAATACTAAATATTGATATATTAATAAACACAAAGACAATTTAAAATCCAAATAGTAGTAGTTTGTATGCTTAGTTATTTTATAACATTACAAAATTGTTAAAATTGTAGGGGATACAAATTATTTATCCAATAAAAAGCAATAGGAAACATAAGTTTGACATAAGTGTAATCTTTCCAATAAAAAGATCATGGAACCTTTTGTTATCTTGATTTGTGTATCATTACACTCCATTTTACCTTCACAAAGAGAAGTAAATTATATGTACTGACCTTCCCTTTCCCAGGACTTTTTCTCCTTTGTTTTTGAAAGCAAAGAAAGCCAGTTGTGTTAGCCTGCATATCAAGGCTCATATCACAGCATTTCTCCCAGCAGCCCCCACTCCTAATCCAAGTCGAAGTCCAAGCCCAACTCCCAGCTCCATCCTGCAGCCATTCACACCAAAGGGACTTGGAAAAAGGAAGTAATCCATTCTGAGTGCAGTTTTCAATATCACTTTCCAGAGACAACTTCCTGCCTCGGCCAAGTTGGTCGCATCATCATCAAAAAGAGCAGGGTGGAGGAGAAAAACTGTTGGCACTTTGCATACAAATGTGCTACCAAGCCGAACTTATCGCAACATTTTAATAACTGGCGGCAACAGTAGCCCGACTGCAGATGGTGCAGAAGATCTAAACCGGAGCTGGAGATGGAGTTGAAGTTGGAGCTGGAGAGTCCAGTCAGCTTTCATTAATTACCAAGAAAAGCGAGTTTTCGGCGTGTTTTTGCTTTTTCCTGCCAGTCAAGAAGTCGCTGCTAGTACTTTCCGTCAACAGGTTGGCGGGACCTGGTCCTAACTGGGCTCGCAAACTGGCTTAGAAACCTGGCTCTTATCTGGCCAGCACATCACGCAACATGCGCGTAATTTTATGAATGAAGTGTTCGCTGCCGGCCAGGATTCAGAATTCAGCTGGGGCCTAGAAAACTGGTTCGGGACCAGGCACTTAATTGCAATCGCACCTCAGCAGCAGCAACAACAGGAACAACAGCTACAGCAGCAACAACAGCAACAACAGGAACAGCAGCAACAACAGCAACAACAGCTACAGCAGCAACAACAGGAACAGCAGCAACAAGTGCAGCATCAACAGGCCGCAGTTTGTCAGTCAGGTTAACAAATTGCGTTAAGACGAAGCCCAGTTGGTCAACCGGTTTGCAGCACATCTGTGCTCGATTCTGGTGCACTTGTTGCATCAGCTTCATCATCATCAGGAGGAGCAGCAGCAGCAGCAGCAGCATCGCTGGAACAGCAGCAACAGCAACTTGAAGAGGAGCAAAGCACGGCAGCAACATCGCACACTTGCAACACTCGCTTATTAAATATGATTATGTGTTCGATTCTGCGTTGGTCTTCAAGATGCCACCAGTACCAGTACTAGCACCAGTACCAGTACAAGTACGAGTATGAGTTCGAGTGCCAGGGTAAAAGTACGGATAGTCACAGGAAGTGAAGCCGCGCCAGCCGTCGTCACATTGGCGGCAGCCCCCTTCCCCTTTCCCCTTACCCCGTTTCCCAACCCCAACAACTGCTGCCCACTTTTAATGAAGTTTTCCGTTTCGTGATGGTTCTGTTGACTTTCCAAGCCCGCTTAGATACCCTCACAGTGAGTTTTGTCAGGCCAGCGGGGGAAAATCAATTTTCCCCAGAGAAAAGCATCCGCGAAACAGTTGGCGAGGGCATTAGAAAGTCCTCTATTTTAGATCCCTTCCATTACCGCCAGTGCCTTTGCTAAGCTGCCAGGCAAAATAAAAATCCATTGGCCGTTCAAATGTTTTAATTAAAATTTAATGAATTCAGTGTACTTAATTATGCATTGTTGTTTTTTGCCCTTGCTGTTTACTCCTGCCGCTCAGACGGAGTATGCTGAAAATTAAATTTAATTGTTTTACGGTCTTTTTTTTTTTTTTTTGTTTTGTACCATTGCATTGCAGTGAGTGGCAATCAAGGCGTATATGAGCCAGAAAAAGCTTCGAAATTTGCGGTGACAGGCAGCCAAAACATGGTAATTAAAATTGCATTTATATTAGAATTGATTTGATTATGGAAAAATGTCAATAACGTTTATGAAGTTAGCCCAAAACACGTAAACTAAAATTGCTGTTTTAATTAACAGGAATTGCTTTGAGCCAACGAATAAACAAATACTCAATTTAACTGTAATAATAAGCAATCTGAATTGAATGAAACTCAGTATGCCAGAAACCTTGTGGATTTTGTAAATCAATAAAATAAGTAAACAAATTATTTCACTGCAACTACAACATCAAAAGCCCCAGAAATGAAATGCAAAATCGATTGAAGCAAAATTGAATATTAATTAAAATGAAATCACTGCCAGTGAGCAAAATGTATCAGAATAAAACGCAATTTCAATGACCTCAACTGGAGTTTGAAGTAAATATTAAATGGGGGAAATCAATTTAGGTGAGAAATAGTTTAGACCACCTGTCATGTCCGCAGAACTCTGCAGGCTGTGAAAGCTGATTGCCCCAGACCACGTTCGCAATCCGTTAATACCGCATTTCAGAAATTAAAAATATGTATTATTAAATGTTCCATTAATTAAGCCGCGCTGCGTAGCTATTAATTAATAAAACTTCCTAACAAAATGCCGCCACTTTGTCTGGCCCCGAAAAATAGAATCAATTAGGCGGCATTTAAGGTGCAAGTGGGCACGCCCACCAGGAGAAAGCCTCCAGGGCGAAAAGAAAGAAGAATGATGACTGAAGTCGGCGCGCTGATTGATGACACTGGACATATTTCTGTCTTGGGTGAATCTCTAAAGAGATTCTAGAAGGAGGGAACCAGGAATTTAAGTTTACTTCGCCTTAAGCGCTGGAAAATTATCAATTTGATTTTCCGTGATTTTCCTCTCCATTTCCCCCACATTTTAAATTATCCCCTCATTTCCCAGAATTAAAAACCTTTATTTTAATTTGAAAAATTTGTAATTTTATTCAAATATTTTTTTTGTTTGAAGATACAAAAATTTGTTGTATTTTTTGTGTTTTTTTTTTGTAGATTTACCGCTTTTTTTCATTTAATATATTAAATATTACATTTAAATAATTACTTTTTTTAATGAAATTTTATTTTATACACATACTTAGCTCCCTTTTCGTGCCTTCTTTAATTTAAATGCAAATGCGGCTGAAGTCTAATTTATAATTAACATTTTTATTGAATCTGTATTTATAGAGTTCTCTAGCATAATTTTTGGCGCTCTCGCGTGCATGCATCAACTTCTTTACCATGTATATAATTATTGTCATGCATGATAAAAAGAAAGTCGCTGAATGCTGTAAATGTTTATTTTGAATATACTTTATTTTTTCTCAAGTCTTAGGTCTAGGAAAAGTCACACTTAAAAGTATTTATATAATTGAAGTCGCTATTTCGTTTTCGGTTTTGGTGATTTCGAATCGGTGTTCGTTGAAAGTCGAACGAACACTTACGCTTTTCGGGCCTTTTGTGTGTATGTATATTCATTTATGTTTATGTTTATAGTACGTATATTGATAAATATTGGTATGTTCTATAGCTTAAACTTGAACAACTGCTAATGAGAATGAGTCACGACTCGCCAGACTCGTAATATATTTATGCTAAATGCTAAAATGCGTAATTCCTACTACTTAATATCGAAAGACCTTACTACGAATTAATATTTTGAGAATGTTCTGTTGTTCTCTTCCACATTTCGTTTGTTTCATCTGTTTCATTTGTTTTTTGTTTTTGTGGTGTCTACTAATGCTGCTGCTTCTGCCGATGTTGCGGGTTGTGGTGGACTAAAAGTGGGTGGAGGGCAGAGGCATATTCGTAGAACGGGTTGCGCACCTGCCCCGTGGCCAGACCAATATCCCGAATCCCTAACCCCCCGAAATGGGATGGGGATGTTTGCTTTTGGCCTTGTGGCAAACAAACGTTATTGGCCTGCGTGTTGCCATCTCCGAGTGGCGAGTTGCGGTGGTGCCAACGTCTCCGGAGCTTTGGGCACAGGTACTTATCACAGCCTTCGAGCGCCGCATGCAAATGTCTTTTCTCAAAACACACTCAACATGGTTTCTCCATTTGCGCTCCGTAATAATCAACGTCGAATAGTAATAATTACAAACATAAAATAAAAATAAGAATTCAATAAAACCAACAGCAACGGCCAACAACCAATCTCGCAACCGAAAAGCACACGATTGAAGTCCAGTTCCAGTGTGTGTTTCTTTATCGTTTTTCGTGTTTTCCGATGGTGATTATGAATGATGTATGTCAATCAGTCTAGCTGGGTTCAACTGGGTTGGGTTGTCTGTGGCTGTCATTGACGCTCAGCACGGCTTAGTAAGTCTGCGGATGAGAAGAACGGGGCAGGTGGAGAGGTGGTTAGAAACGCGATAAATACAGGTTGTTCCTAACAAGCTGCTAATGATTGTGGGGTGGGAGAATCTTGAGATTGATCTGGATCGTTATGGGAAACGGCATTCATTTCGACATATTTCTTTAAAAATAATTATCCCATAATTAGGCAGGGGATTTTATTTATGAAATAGTGTGCCTTTAATTATAGGTATACTTTGTTCTTGATTGAAGGTGTTTTAAAAACATATCTTTTTTTTTTTTTTTTTTTTAGATTAGAAAATATAAATATATATTAATATATGAAAGTCTGTTCATTATAAAATTTGTGTTTAATTTATAGCTGATTTTTAAACACCCAAGATGATCCCTCTCTACCCCAATTTCCCAAAATCATTCTCTATTATTTTAATGGATTTTCTTATAGGTTTTTCAACTTACCACCGGCGGATAGGACATGTATTTGTCGCTCATATTGAAGTACGACCCATCTGCTGGCGGCGCTGGCGATGGCGAGGATATGTAGCTACCCTTGATCACCAGCGAGGAGGCGGGCGATGGCGATGGTATGTACAGGCCGTTGGAGATCAGCATGTGATCGTCCTTGGAGCGCATCTGCATGCCCTCGATCATGCCCGTGGCACTGTTCCGCTGACTGTGCCGCTTGGGATTCGGCAGGGTCCGGGTGAAGTCCGGATTGCAGAGCGGGTACGGCGGGGTGCACATGGAGCTCTCCTGGTATTTCGGCGGATACGCCGTCGACTGGATGATGTCCACGTTCTCCACCAGATATGTGGATGCGGCTGCCTTCTTCTGCACATCCGCCTGCAATGCAGTGATGGGCAGCTGGTTAGAGTTTCGAAATACATTTGGTTAGATCCGTTTAGTGGGTTAATATAGTGTGTGATGCTCTTACCTTATAGACAGACTGGCTGTCATCCTTGGAGTACACATCATCGTTGCTGGGCTCCGCCTCGCTCTGCGACTTATTCTGCCGACGAATCACAAACCAGGCCACCAGAGCAGCATTCAGCACCAACAAAACCATGGCAGCCGAGGTGATTCCAATGATCATCACATTTGGCAGCTCGTCTTTTTCAGTGTATTCCGCTGAGTGTGGCTGGGAACCCTTACTCAGAGTCAACTTGATATCAGGCATGAATTTACTGCCACCCGCTTCATTGGCCGCCATCACCGAGAAGTAGTAGGTGGCCCCAGGTTTCAGACCTTCGAGGGATATGTTCTGGTGTCCTGGTTTCGCATCCACATACTTGTACTTATCCTCGCCATGCTGTTTGAGTCTCAGTCGGAAGTAGGTCTGCATGCCACCATCGAATCCGGGTGTCCAACTAAGTTCCACTCCCGTATCGCTGACATTTCCCACTCTCAACTGCAGAGGAGCATCTGGACGAGAGGGCTTACTGAATTCCAGGGTAGTGCTAGCCTGTCCCAGGGCATTTCGCACCACACACTCATACTGCCCGTAGTCATCTCCCGAGGTATTTTCAATAAGGAGAGCAGATTCATAGTTCAGGGTATCAACCTGTCGCTCCACACTCTTGAACTTGTTGCGACGCTGCATCTTTATATCCTTGCCATGACGACGCCAAATAAAACTGGGCTGAGGAGAAGCCAAGGATCTGCAAATCAACTGAGCTCGAACTCCCAAACGAGCGGCATAGCGGGTAAAGCCAGGGGAATGGTCAATTTCCGGGGAAGCTGAAGGTAAAAAAATATAAATTGTATAGGTTAATTAATCTGATTTTACTAAGTTAATAATTCTTAAAAAATTAATTGAAAACCAATGCTAGGAAAAAAACCGTACGAAAATCTTTTAGAAATTTATAAAAGGAAGGAAAACAATAAGCTAATAAAAATTCATAAAATTGGATTGAGAAAAAATAGGAGATGTAAAGAAAAGAAAACAATATTTGAAACCTAAATATTTCCTAAATCTATTTTCAGGTTTTCACTAAATTCTCAAATAAAACTTAGCACTTACTTTGCACGACTAGAAGAACATTTTGGGCAGCCGGAGCTCCTCTTTGGTTGTCCACGATGCAGGTGAAGTTGCCGATATCGCTGCGCTCCACCTTGGCAATCTGCAGCAGGGCGGTGCCATTCTCGAAGCTGGAAATGGTGCGTGAGGCTAGGTCGTAGCCGTCGCGGGACCAGCGCACATGAGCGGCCTCTAGCGGACGGGCCTGAATGTGGCAGGCCAAGACCGCCGGTTCGCCGGCCACAAAACTGCGACCCTCACTCACGGCGGTGATTGTGGGGGCGTCTAAAAAAAATCAGGAGTAACAAAAACAGTCAGCTCCGCTTTGGAGGTTATTCTTAGAGCCACAATGCTACTCACATTCCACGGCAATTTGGATCTCCAGCAGCGCGGTGCCCTGGCTATTGAGCGCCTCGCAAATGTAGACACCCGCATCGTTGCGACTGAGACGGCTGATATTGAGACGCGGTCCGTCGGAGATCAAACGCTGCCCGCTCAGACTGTTGCTGCTAATGGGAAGGCCGTCCTTGGTCCAGGTATAGCTAATTACCATGGGGTTTCCGCTGGCCATCAGCTCCACATGGAACGGCGCCCCCTCAACGCCCACGAAAGTGGTGCTCTGCGAGGTCTCGAATTTGGGGGGATCTGGAGGGAATTCAGGGGTTCGGCATTGGTAAATTCAGATATCTTATTAAAACAAAGTTCCAACTTACATAGTATATCCAAACTGATGGTTTCGTGCACACTGCGCTGCAGAACTTCGTTGTGACTCTGGCAGGTATAGACAATGCCATCCAGATCCTGGGTTATATTGACATACATCTCGAGGGTGGACACCGAACCGCCCCAGAGACCAGGTCTATTGGCCAAATTAAGACCCTCGACGGGAATGCCATCCTTCCACCAACTGATTTTGGCCGGGGGATTACTAGAGCTGGAGTCGCAGACCAACTTGGCTCGAATTCCCGGGACTAGATTCTTGGGCACTACACTGATCTTGACCGTTTCGGGAGGAACTATGAAGGGGAAACAACTCTTAAGTTTATAACTCTAAAAACAAAGTACGTTTACTTACAATGAACTCCCAAAGTCTTAGTAGAAAACAGTGGTATGTCGATGGCTGCATTCTGAACCTTACACTTGTAGATGGCATTATTATCGGAGGCATTGACCAAGAGAGACAGTTCTGAGGTGATTTTACTATCCACCAATTTGGAGGGAGCATTCAGTATCTTGTCGTTTTTGTACCACTGCAAAGTGGGTGGGGGATTGCCACCAGCCGAGCTGCATTGCAGTTTCAGTATGGATCCAGAGATAAGGATGTCACCATCATTATAGCCTGTCAACAAGGGTGGCGAAGGGGGATCTGGAGGGGAATAAGTAATGGCATTGTAATTTAATTTCATTTCTTAAGTGCTAAGTGATAAGATATAAGGGTAGCTAAAGGGTTGGTTAACTTACACAAAACATTCACGGTATGAGATCCCACCACATTCTGTGTGAGTTCCGTGTTGAGGGCATGGCATACTGCGATGAAGGTCCTGCTCTGCGAGTCGATGTTCAGACTGACATTGGAACTGCTAACCCAGCCACCATCGGAACTACTCGTCGTCTTGAAGGTACTGTTCTCCATTGGCCGTCCATTGATTGACCAACTGATGCGGGCCTGGGGATTCGAAGGGGCAGTCACGCAGCTCAGTTGCACGGAATCGCCGACCTTGGCCTGGTTGGCTCCACTCAGATAAACATCCTTGGGGGCATCTGTTTGGAGAAATATATTTTATAATTAATAAATAAAGTATAAATACACTTAATAAAGTATTTATTGCTTATGACATTATTTTTCTTAACGATACAAGGCAAGAACTTATTTACAAGTTAAAAGAAATGTTGAGTATGATGTATGAGTACATTTTCGGGAGATTCCAGTAGAGTAAATATGCTTTATGGCCTTTCGTTGGCTGGGAAACTTACACAGGACAGTCAGATTGAGTTCGGCGCGCAGGGGAGTTGTCGCCAGCAGATTCTTGGCCTCGCACACCAAATTAGCCCCATTGTCCTCGGCGGCGGCGGTGAACTTGTAAACGTTTTCCGACAGACGGCCCGAGGTGCGCTGGGGCGAACTGATGGCCACGCCATTCCGGTACCAAGTCAATTGGGCCGGGGGATTCCCGCCGCGGCTGCGGCAGGCAATTTGCACTTCCTGGCCGCGATGCAGGCTCTCGCCCTGGCCATAACCCTCAAAGAACGGCGCACCGGGTGGGTCTGGAATGGGCAGAGAGATTGGGATTGGGCTTGGGATTAGAGACCTAGGCGGGCACAAAAGGGCCAGGATGCACTTACAGAGCACGGAGAGCTGCACCTGGGCGCGCATCGGCACGTCGGGGGGCAGGGCCTTGTGCCGCGCCTCGCAGGAGAACTCCTTGTAATCGTCATCCGAGCGGGGCTGCAGGTGCAACGTGGAGCTGGTCGTAAAACGCTTCGGGGCAGTTTGGTTCACCGACACAATGGGGACTACACGGGGAGAAAATAATCACCGGAATTGGTCAGCATTTCTGATATTTACTAAAGTCATTTATGGAACTCTTAACTTGGAAATCATGATAAATAAAATATATAAAATGGAATTGTATTAGGGAAATGGTAGTGCTAAGTATACATATTTTATCTGATAATAAATGTTAATAAAAATATTTTTAAGGCCATTATAGTTAGTATAATATTTAGAAAATGGGGACTAGGATTTTTAAAGAAAGTATAAGCTTATTAATTAATCATTAAAGGATAAAATGAAGAAGTGAAAGTCTGCCCTAGATATTTTGATTTAACAATTTTTAATGGGTGTATTCTTTATAACTTTAAAGGTATAATATGTTTTAGTTTTTCTGAATTTTAAAAAAGACTAAAACTCACCCGTGTTGACTGGCACTTCGCCCTGGAACCAGACAATCTCCGCCGCAGGATTGGCGTTCTCGGCGATGCAGTGCAGCGTGAGGTTCTGGCGCTCCTCGACCTCCACTCGGGCATTCCGGGCATATCCCTCGATGACGATGCTACTGGGTGCCGCCACGATGCTCAGCTTGGCATTAGCCCGAATGGCGGGATTTCCGGCGGCAGGACCTACTTGACACTGGTATTCGGCATCGTCCTCTAAAGTGGCGTTCTTGATCTGCAGGTTGTAGGCATTCTGTTTGGCATCTACCAGCACGGAATACCGCGGAAATCCCGGTATCACCGCCGAGAAGCCCAGCGCAAAGCCGTCCTTGGTCCACTGGACCTTTCCTGCCCGGGCGGACACCTCGCATCGCAGGAGAGTGTCGGTGCCCTCGAGTATTTGCAGATCGTGTGGCGTCAGGCGAAACTTTTGCACCGGCGGAGAGGCCACCTGGACGGCCGGAGTTGGTGCCGTAACTGCGGCCATTCCGTGGCAGATGGTGCCAGCTGCACAGAGAAAAATAAGGGAATGTTTCGGTTAGTAATTTGATGGTTTTTAAGGATTTGCATAGGTAACAAGTTGTATTTTAAAAGTATAAGACATTTTCTTATGTTTTCTGACGCATTAAAAGATTTAAATCAGAATCTCACTTTTTTATCTTCATTTCTTACAAGTAAAAAATATAATGTGATATAAATCCGAATACAATACTTTAGTTGAATTCGATACATTCCTACAAAAAGGAAAACTTCATATTATTTTCCACCAAAAACATTTTATTTTGATTGGTTAATGTTGAGATTTGTTTTCGCCGTGTATAGCAAAACGAGATGGAAAGGAAATTCGCATGGTTAATCGGCACGTTCGACATTTGCGCACGTAGTTTGCCAAGTGCACCGGCAATGGGAACAGTTCAATTGGCATCGAATCGACATGGATGTCGACCTGTCAGGGCCCAGAGTTGGAATCGAAGTAGTATTGGAAGTCGTATCGGAGTCAGATGGCCACGGTTACCCAGTTTTACAGCCCACACATAAAATACACATTACTTAAGCGTAAGCCCCGACGACGTCGCTCAGTCACATCGCACTAATTTGGTACAACTTCTTTTTTTCCGTTCCGTTTCGATTCGATTCGAATCGTTTGGTTTCCTTTCTGCTCACATGTGTCAGTAGGGGGGAGGGGGGATAACTCAACTCTCAGGCTGTCATTGAGACATGGATGTATCTGTCCGTCGGTCTTTCTGTTCTCCGCACAGTCTGTTTGCCGCTGGATCGGCCCACACCTAGCCTAAAGTAGGTCTGCAGCTTGCGGCTCATTAGCATTAAAATGTCTTAAAGAAACGACTGGGCCACGTTCGATACCAAATTGAACGGCCTACTCACTCGGGGCCTTTACATGCCACACATATACCCCTGAGTGTGTATGTGTGATGTCGACCTAATCAGCATTAGAGCAATCTACATAGGTATTTAAAAGCATTGACAACTCACGCACACTGTCGCCGGATGGTGGGAAATCGAAATGTAAATGATGTGTGGGTGCCAGAGAAAGTTCCATTTTGGGACTGCGGTCAGGCAATCAAATTGGAAGATAATAACCTGCTGGCAAATAATGCGCGATTAATCATCCGATCGAGTTCCTATAAATTATACCCAGCTAAAGACAACTGTCGCCTTATCTACGATAAATAATTCTCGCCCAGCTTCGACTAATGAATTAGCCATTTATCAAGCGCAAATCTCTAAAAACATTCTTAATTCCTTCGATCGGAACAAGTTTAAATTATAATTTATTTCAAGCCAGCATTGCTGCTCAATTAAACTGGTTTTGGTGCCACTGTGCGCTGCGTGAATCGTGGCCACAAATGGCTGGACAAATAAACAAAATAAACATTTCTGTCGTGGACTTCATCAGCGGATTAATTGATTATTTGTCTGGGAAGACAAGCGCACAAGCGGACAAGATGGTCTTGAAAGAAAAGCGGATATGAATTGGTCAGGGCGGGCGGAAATGTTAAAATGTGGCCAATGGGTGGGCCAAAGTTAGTCATTCGTTTTGAGGGCGCCTCGATTTGCATTCTGCCATTCCGCCCGGCCAAAGTTCAAGCAATTAAGCCAAGCGACAGTTGACCAACTCGGCACTGCCAGAACATTTCCTGCGGCAATTAACCAGCGACGACGACGACGAAAAAAAAAACAGCAACAAAAAACGGCAGAACTTGACAGGTTTTTGCACTGACAATGACGACAAACACAGAGAAAACTGAGACCCGGCCCACTGCAACATGCATACAACTCATTTAGTGTCATTACGGGAGGAAGACGGGCAGAAGGTAGATGGTAGATGGTAGATGGCTATATGGTGGCTATATATCTATATGACTATGGCTCTGTGGGTTTATGGCCAACAGGGCAGCGAGACGGCGGCAGGAAAGCCACCCCGCTGGCACCAAGAAAAGACAATATACAGAGGGTAATTGTCACACATATGCAAGCCATCCTGGCCAACAAAGAAATCCTTGAAGTGTGACAGTAGGAAGCAAAGAAAACGGGCGAAGTAAGGAGCACTGAGTGCAGAACACACACTCTGCTGAGTGAAGTAAGTGCAAAGTAAATGAAAGATGAGCAGCAGGGCAAAGGCCCAACCGGTTTAGCATTTCATTCATGGGTTTTCAGCCGTTCTGGCCACTGGCCATCGGACATCGGACATCGGGAAGTTAGAAGTGGAAGTTGGGGGGGACCAGAGGCAGCTGTAATTGTCAACTGGTCCCACAAATTGTACGCAAACTAAACTAACTGCTTAACCGCAAAACGTACGTCCGTAGTCGATGACGATAGTGATGATGATGATGTTGATGATGATGTCGATCTTGGGGTCCCAGGACTCCTAGTTTTGCATGTGCCTGTGGCTGAGCCTATGCCAAAGTCGATTCCTGGCCGCAAGTTAAGTGAGTGTGCTGCCCTGCATTGGCCTCAAAAGCCTGCTAATAGTTTTCGAGCTCTGCAGGTCCTGGCAGGACCCAGAGATGCCTGAATTACTAAGTGACTCAGGCAGGAAGTTTGCGGTGCCTCTGGCTTTTATCAGTTGTGCTCTTTTTTTTTACCTTCGCAGGGTTTTAGGGATTTGCTCTGTTGTAACAAACAAGTTTGAGTACTTTTTGAAACACTACAGTATTTGTTTTTTATTTTATATGACTTAAATTTTAAAATTTATAAGTGGGGGTTTTGGTTTCTTAACCGATATACTTACTCAAAGGTAAACGAATTCCCCAATTGAATTCTTTTCATTTATGTTACCATTGAATTTTTATGATTTTTCTATAATATGATTTTAGAATGGCCAACGTACTTAGGAAATTATATTCGAAAGTCTTATGGTGTAATTTCACTGAACTCACAATAAATAAAATACATGACCATAAATTAAGTTTTCATTCTTCTAGCGTTTGGAATTAAATTTAAATCATTTGTTTATTTATAATTAAAATTTGGTAATACCCCAATGAAATACCCAAATTAAGATCGCCAATACAAGTGTAGTTGCTCATCTCTGTCGTGAGTGGTTACGTGTGGCAATGCCAAGCGATGCGCAACGCCGGATGTCGCACTAATGGTCAACGCAACGCACTCGAAGGTCCCGGCCTGTTTTAGCCCACTGCCGTTCGTTTTGGCCCCGACTTGGGCCTAGTATCGGGCCTAGATGGCCTGCTGGCTGCCTGGTAAGTTAAACTATCTACAAGTCATTAACTCATACAAAGCCAGCAACTGTCGCTGAGGGTGAGGCTATACAATCCGGAATCGAGGGGCCCAGCAGCAGCATCCAGTATCCAGAATCCAGAATATAGAGTGAACTGAAGTGAAGTGAAGTGGCCTGGACCAAACGCACATTCGGCCTTTTGTTTTTCTTCTTTCGCTCCTTTTTTCCTGTGTTGTTTTTTTTCTCCTTATCGAGACCAGTTTCCAGTTTATTCGCTCACGCTGCCACTTTCTGGTAACTCCAGCGCGTTAATGGAAAATATTGTGGCATATCACAGGAAATCCGGTGAGGTTTTTTTTCTTCCTTTGCTGTTGCTTTTGGCCCTGTTTGTTGTTTTTGTTGTTGTTGTTGTTGTTCTTGTTGATGGTTGTTGGTTTGGTATGGTTTTGTGCACACTCCTTTTAGCCGGCAGGACACTTAGCCGGCATCTACTCGCTTTGACAAAATTAACGGGCACATAAATCTCCTCTCCGGGTTTTGCGGCTTTGCGTTATAAATTTAATTAAATTTTTTTTTTTGGTTTTCGTACTTTATCTGCGCCTGTTAACCATTTTTTGTCGCTTGTTTGGTTTACTGTTCTGCTTGCTAACTTAACAAATGTCTTTTATTATATTGATTAAAGCGGCTTTTGGTGTGTCAAATTTGTTGCCAGCCATGTTAAGCGCCGGCTAAGTGTTTCAAATTGTTTTAAATGTCAAGGGAAAGGATTTTGGTACGGCCATAACAATTATTTTTCACATGTGCTTGTGGTCTGAGATGCGGAGGCTACGACTTTGAGCCAAGCCAATCCGATTTTCTGCTGACACTTAAGCGGTTTTTAGCCACCCTTATGTCTTTGGGATTTTTGCCTGTCCTCTTGGTGATGTTAACCAGATGATAATTTAATTTAATTATTGAGAGTAAAAGGAATTTCCCACATTTTTCTAGCACAAAAAGTATAAACTAGAGATCGTAACCAAAAATAAAAATATTGTGTTGTTTTTAAATAGGTAACCAAGGTCAGTTTTTAATTGGATGAAATTTCAAATTGAACATAAAATAATATCATGAAACTTATTGAAGATTTCCAGATTGCTTTCTCGAAAGATCTCATCTTAAAACGGAATACCCTTTCCGCAGCCTTAAATGTATCTCGCGTTATCTTTCCCATCTTACTGAGACTCAACATTTGGTGGCTTTGAGGCCGCCGCTTATGGCCAAGTTTATTGCTGACCCAGAACCGCCTTAATCATCTCCGACAACCCGCATACCCTCACTGGAGTGTCACCGACCGGGCATTTAATGTGCGCCCTGGGCACGCTTAATAAATTCACAATAAAACGCATCTGAATCACGCGAATTGAGAGTGGGGGTGGGGGAATGGGGATCTTAACGACCTCGAAGTGTTTGTTTGTTGTTGCGACTCCCCCGCACAAATCCTGCTGCTCGCAAATTGGCGCATTACCAAGTCTCTGTTCGGCCGGCACACACTGTGTGTGTCTTTGAGCACTGATTGAATTATAAAATTTGCAGCTGAACAAATGCGGTCTGGTCTGGAATGGCCTGGCCAATATCAAATGGCAAGACCCATGCCTCATCGACGTTAAACTAATCAACTAATTTGCTATGAACTTTGCGGTCTGCACAAATTAGAGCGTCCGAGTTCGGCCAAAGACCCACACCGAATCCATTTGAAGGCATTAACATTAATTATTTTCTGCTTCATGAGCATTTTAGATGAACACGAACTCGGGATGGAGGAGATGTG